GCCGGGAATCGAACCCGGGCCTCCCGCGTGGCAGGCGAGAATTCTACCACTGAACCACCAATGCTGTGCTGTGAAAGGAGCCAACATTGAGGCCCAGGTGGTCAAAGGCAGACGTCCTTTGAGATCGGGTGTCTGCCCAACTTTCTGGACTCCAGAAACTGGTCACCTGGAGCTCGGACCTGATCACAGCGCTCCTCCCATCCCAAATCCACAACACCTGGGGGAAGCGGGGAGGAGGAGGAGGAATCTGCGCCGGCCCTTAGGTCCTTTCTCTTCCTCCTCCTCCCATCCACCGGAATCGTCAGCAGCCCTGTGCTTCCCGCGCCTCCTGAATCCAGAAAACGGGGCGGGCTGCAGTTCTGGGGACCCTGAGGATGAAAGGGAAGGGCGGCCCCGCTCAGGGACCGCCCTAGGGAACCCCACACACCTGGCCTATCTTGGGCTGGCCCTGAGCGGTACCAGAAAGTTCTTCCAGAACTTATGCCCCTCTACACTATCCCCAATTCCTCACCTTCCCCAGGCCTAGCGCCATGGTACCTGAAGCTCCTGCCGGGTGTCCCCACAGACCCTTCCTGCCGAGGCAGAAGAGACCCAGTTGTCTCGCTGAACGAGTCCCCCACCCTCCTGGCACCTGCACCCCTGAGCAGGTGTGAGAAGGCTGAAGTCAGACAATGTGAGCTTTGGGTTCTTTCTGGAGCTTGTCCTTTTCCAAGGCCTGCAGCAAAGGGGCAGGTGGTCTGGCCACAGCTCTGTCCTTGCCTGCTGGCCCTGCCTGTGCTAGTCCCTGCATCCTGCCAATTGCCACAGGAGGATTAAAGACTCTCACACCCCCACAGTGGCTTTGAGCTCTGACTTAATTCTTCCTTTTCATCCTTTGCCAGATTAAGATCCAGAACATCAACAGTGCCCTGCTTAGGCAGAAAAGCCTTTGGAGGGCCAGACGCCTGAAGGCGATTGTCCCTTCCTGCCACCTGGAACCATTAGCTCCTCATCAGAGTGCATCCAGGGGAAAGCTGGTTTGCTGTGGTCTCTCAAAGTGACCTTGAGCAAGTCCCAGGGGGTTCTTCAGGTGGAGAATCCTGGGGCTCTAAGGAACAGCTGCGTTATTTCCACTTCCCCAAATTCAGTTAGGGACCAGGTAGAAATTCTGGCCCTAGACAGTGACCGCCGCCCTCCCCAACTTCCCATTTGTCTCTGCAGCAGCAGCAGTAACTACAACCTGAACTTTGAGCTGCACAGAGAAGAAGTCCCCTACAGGTGAGTGGGTCCTACTCCTGGGTCCTCTGGGGGAGATGATGGTGCTGATTGGCTTGACTTCTCCTCTCTCCTGTCCCTATAGAATGTATGAATACCAGAGGATCCCTCCACTCATCAGCCAGATGTCTTCCAAGATGAGAAGGACCCACTTGGGCATGGGAGTCAAGAACAGTTGCAGCCCCTACAAAGGTTCCAGGAATAACCACCTGTCCCCCAGGCAGATAAAGCGTAAGTAAGGGGACATAGATTTCTCCTGCAGAGCTTGGGAGGAACTGTATGGCTGTACCTACAATAAGAACAGGCCCCAGAGCCCTGGCAACGTTGCCCTCATCTACTGTGGCCTCTGTGCCCAGGAGTTGAGGTCCATCACTGGCCCTCTCCCAGCAGTCAGGACTGAGGAGCTGCGCTCCATCAGGGGGGAGCTGAGCCAGATCAAAGCCCAAGTGGACAGCCTGTTGGAGAGTCTGGAACACATGGACCAACAGAGGGACCATCCTGCAGGTCAGGCACCCAGGGTGGACCCCAGGCCATGCTCTCAGCCCCAGCTTTTCCTGCTTCTGAAGATGCCAGGATGCCCAGGGTTCCGCCTGGGGTTTTCCCTGTCTGCAGGCCTCCCTTCCCTGGAATGCACTTCCCGTCTATTCCCTCTGGCTATTCTTGTGACTGGAGGATGCTTGTGGCTTCTGGGTTGTTCTGTCACCCCCTCCTATTCAGCAGCTATCTGGAGCCTGAGCAGTATCCTGGCCCATCTGCTTCTTGCCCTCCCAAGCCCTAGATATCCTAAATCAATGCTGGACCCTGATGGGGTCAGCTGGAACCTCCAAACTTGGCCATTGACTGGCAACTCTGCGCAGGGACAAAGGACATTGAAGAGCACAGGAACCCTGGTAGTGAGGGGTCTTCATGCAGAACTCTGGAGCCCCAGCAGGAGCCCAGGGACCAGAGGTTCCATCTGGAGGCAGACAGCTCCGAGGGAAGCACAGACACCCAGTAGGCAGTGAGTGATCTACCTCTCTTCTCCCCCTTGTATTTGGGTCCTTGTGGCCTTCAGAGCAAGGGAGGGACTTGGGTTTGTGCAGCACACAATAGTGGGGTAGGGGAAAGCATATGACTTCAACTTGAGAGGAGCCCAAGTAAAGGATGGGCCTGGCCCTGCATTTTATCCTCGCAGCTCTGGGCTTGGTCAGCTATGCTATACCAGGGACTACTGCCAAGCAGTTGGGCACTTGGATCTGTTGTGGGCTGAAATATCATCTCCATCTGGAAGGCAGGAGAGATTTGAGCTATAGACTATAGAGGAAATGTCACAAATATGTCCCATGGTCCCAGATCCCTTGCATAAGAACCAAATTCTGCCTTCTCCCTGGTCCTACTCCCCCAGGGCCTTTGAGCTGTCTGCATGGCACCAAGCTCCCTGGGAAGCTATGGTACAGTGACATTCCTGGCTGGAGAAGATGCCATTTTTTCAGTATTAAAGGTCCTGAATATTACAGGTTCTCCCACACTCTCTTCTACTATTGGTGGTCCTTAAGATGGGCCAAGCCCACACTGCCTCTTGGGCCCTTTTAGCAAGGCCAGTGCTGCCACGGAATTGGGCATAATGAGCTTCCTTCCTCCACCTCCTCAGTTCCACCCTTGGCCTTCTGAGCTTAGGAGAGCCTTCACTAATGCCTAGGACCTGAGAAAAGAATGGGTTAGAAGGAGAAAATGCTTTCTTTTGCCTGCTGGTTTTGAGTCCCCAGGTCTCAAGAAGCCTGAAGAGGGACTGAGAATATAGCTTAGTAATAGAGGATGTGCTTAACATGTGCAACTTCTGGGTCCAATTCCAGATGTACCCCACCTCCCCCTAGAGTTGCCCTGGAGTTGCTAAAGCTCCAAAGACACAGGGGTGGGGGGCAGGTAGCAAAGGGACTACATGTTGGCCCTTTTTCCTAGTTCTACTCTGCCTCCCTGTCTTATCAGCTACTTTTTTTTTTTTTTGAGAGAGAGGAGAGAAAGAGAGAGAATTTTTTTTTAATATTTATTTTTCAGTTTTCGGTGGACACAACATCTTTATTTTATTTTAGGTGGTGCTGAGGATCGAACTCAGCGCCCCGTGCATGCCAGGCAAGCACGTTACTGCTTGAGCCACATTCCCAGCCCCACTCTTTTATTTTTTAAAAATATATTTTAGGGGGCTGTGGTTGTGGCTCAGTGGTAGAGCGCTCACCTGGCATGCATGTGGCCTTGGGTTCAATCCTCAGCACCACACAAAAGAAAGAATAAACAAAGTTATTTTAAAAAATTAAACATATTGTGTCCACCTACAGCTAAAAATAAATGTTTTTAAAAATATATTTTTTAGTTGTTGATGAACATTTATTTATTTGTACGTGGTGCCTAGAATCAAACCCAGCGCCTCACGCATGCTAGGCAAACACTCTACCACTGAGCCACAACCCCAGACCCATCATTTTATTTTTTTCTACAGATGAAGAATCAAGCACCCTACCAAGAGGGAAGCCAGTAGGTGGGAACCCTTCCAGGCTCATCAGTTTCATGCACCTTCTCGGTGGCTCCCTTCCTTGCCTGTTTTTCCGAAGGCCTCCTGGGTGTATCCAGGCAACCTGAGGCACCCATTCTGGGTAATGGAAGAAGAGGCACAGGTCAGGCAGGCCAGCTGAGTCTCCCCATAGTGGTGGGTTTAGCTTTGGAGAGGGTTTTCAGATGAGCTCCCGGACAGCCCAGCAGTAGCTCACCATTCTTATGAAGGTGAGGCTGTCTGAGAGGAGGCAGTTGACAGGGTACTGTATGGAGCAGCATCAGGCCTCCCTGGATGCAGATATGGCTCAGGTGCCACCTCCCCATGAGCCACAAGTCGCAGTACTATGGAGCACATGCACATGCAGCAGCCAGCCCAGCTTTCTCCAGCAAGTGTTGAAACACATGTGTGCCTCCAGTCTGACCCTAACCCCACCTAACCCCTTTTAGTTCCAGACTCCCCATCTACTCTATAAAGCCATGCTTCAGAATAGGGGTATAATTTTTGTGTCCAGCTTCATAGTTTCTTGCTAGTATGACACCACATATTTCAGGTTTGCCTCACAAAATGTATTACATCAGAAGGGAAACATTAAAATTTGTATATCTCCTTCCTGGTTGGAGATTCTTATTGTGGTCTCAACTTTATTCTGATCCTTGGGCTGTCCTAGGCAGTCAGGAGAGAGGCTGAACAGGTCCTTGAGACCCTCAAATTTCAAAGCTCATAACAAACTAGGGTAGAGGGGAAAAGGCTGTGCTGCCTCCCAAACAAGTCTCCTAGCTTCCTTTAATCCAGGTCTGAGTAGAGTGAAGACTCCACCTTCATGGTCAGTTAAGCTAGGACTGCCCTATAGAATAGCGGGGCTGTATCTGAAGGTGAGGCTGTCTGGCAAGAGGCATTTTATCTAGGTACTCTCACTCTTGGCAGTGCATCTGCCATCTCCCCAGGCCACACTGCTCAGGGTCTTGCTCCCAGGGGTACCAGATGAAGGCAGCCCAGGACCCCACTTCTCATCAGCAATGGAGGCCTCTGGTTATGCTGAGGAGATCTTGCTTCCATCCAAAGTACAATCCTTCCCAAACACCCAACCCTGATTTGTGTCTTATCTGGCTCTAAACCTGAGTAGGGGTGTACCCAGGGCCATTCAACTTTCCCTATTCTTATTACATTTCAGCAGCTGCCCCTACTCTGGTACTTAAAGAACCACAACAGAAGACGTTTGTACGACATAAAAAAAAAAAAAGTTTTTTTTGTTATGTTTTAGCTTAGATATTGAGGCACTGCCCCCTTGTTCATCCTCTTAAGAGTAGCCCAGTTATATTGGAAAGAGTCAATAGCTGGCCTATATAGGGTTCATCTCTTAAAAGGCCATAGCTCCAGATCTCATTTTTCAGATAAGTCCAGCTTAAGTCCTTTTCAACTTGGGAGTAAGGCTGCTTCCATAGGTTTCTTCAGTTGGATCGTAACTGGGTGCCAGCTCAAGTAGAAAGTCCCTTTAATAGAACAGTTTGTAAAAAAGTCATTCAAACATAGCTGTCCAGTGCATCGGTTCGTGTGTGTATGCCTCGACCTCCTCTCCTGTGCTCCAGATTCTTAGCTGGGTGGAGGCAGGAGACCGACCGCACAGGTCCTTTAAGGACAGCAGCAGCAGCAGCAGCAGCAGCACTCCATTTGTTGATGCTCAGGCTTGGAACTCAGGACGCGGAGGCCGCTCCCCTCCGGCGGGCTGCCCGCACTAGGCACTGCTGTAATACGGGGTAGAGGCGCTGGCAGCCTTCGAGGCCCAAGCGCAAGGCCTCGGCCCAGCTCTCGGTCTGGCCGCCCTCCCCGCTGCCCAGCAGCCCGGCCACCTGATTGAGCACCGGCATAAGCGCCACGGTGAAACCGGCGGCGGCGCGCTCCTCCTCGAGCCGCGTGGGGTCCAGCAGCCAGGTGGGCGCGGGTCCCGGCGAGAGACTCAGGCCACAGCCCACCACTAGGTCGTACATCTCAATTCCCGCGTCGGCCAGGGCAAGCGCCGCGGCCGTGAGCGCGGCGGCCAGCGCCGAGCCGCCGTCCTCCAGCAGCAGCGCCGACACCTCGAGCTGCGCGCGCGGATAGCGCCCCAGGCGCACAGCCGGCTCCAGCGCCTCCTGCAGCGCCAGGGCCAACTCGCGCTCCTCGCCGCCGCCCGGGGGCGCGCGGCGTCTGCGGCCCGAGAAGGGTGCGCGGCGAAAGTCGCAGAGCAGGCGACCGCGCAGCGCGGCCGGGGCCTCGCCGCCCGCTCCAGCAGGGCCACTGCCGCGCTCGCCGCCCTCGGCCTGGCGCGGGCCAGACACGGCGCACAGCACCTTGGTACCGCCCGCCTCCAGGTAGGCCGACCCCTTGGCCTGGCTCAGAAGCCCGGCGCGAGCGTACACAGGCCGCAGCCGTGTTGGGTCGCGGGGGGCAGGCGGCTCGTCCTCGTCCGCCGCGTACAGTTGAGGTGGTTGGGACTCCTCGGGCCCGCGGATGCGACGGTGGTCTCCTGGCATGGCAGCACCCGGAGTACGAGCCGCTTCCGCCCCCAGCCCTGCCTCGCGCGCGGCTCTTCCGCCAGCTTAAAGACGCGCGCCCGGGTGAGGGCTGTCGGGATAGCAGCAGGCGGGGAGCCCACACTGCCCCTTGCCGGCCTGGAGGAAGAACAGCGAGCGCCACCGCTTGCAAGGGACAAGGAAGCCCAGGCCTGCCAGGGGGAGCAAGGCCGAATCCAGCTGATCGCGTCTCCCAGGCCAGGATGTTAATCTTCTTTTCCTGTGAAGGTTGCAGTTATCTTAATTTTGCACGTGTGCAACTCTTCTATGGATTTGTCCAAGGCAAGGACTTTTTGTTTCTGAATTCCTGTACTCCGGGCCCTAGTTGATATACTTGTTTAATGAATGGATGGAATGTCTCTCTTGCTGCACTGGGCACTAGACAATGTAGTCAATCTCTAGCACTTCTGGCACCTGAGGCTTTAACCCAGGGTCCCAGCCCCCTCCCTCTTTCTCATACCCTATGGGAGGAGGGCCCCTTTCTTGCAGCATAGACCTGCTCCCCCTTCAACTCTGACGACAGGGCCAAGAGTGCCTTGGCCCCAGGACCAGTTAGCTGTATCGGGTATCTAACACAGGCAAGCTATATCTTTACTTCCCACATACTGATTCCGAACTGCAGTTTTAGACTTAGATCAACTGAATTCAGAGCTAGACCTGGGTCTTTATCCTCACTGACCGTGTTTGGGTCAAGCAAGTGGGAATGGGGCAGTTACTGGAGTGAGGATGGGGGGCAATGCTATACCTGAATTCTTCTCATAAGCCATCTGACTTCACAGCAGCTGCCTCAAAGGGAGGGCGGGGCACACAATGTCACCAGCGGAGGGTCTAAGACATGGAGATGTTCTCCCCAAGAGAAGCGCTAAGAAAAGCATTTCTTTGCTTTCTGTAACTCTTGGTAGATTTTTTTTTTTCTTTTTTTTCAGTGCTGCGGATGGAACCCAGGGCCTTTATATACTAGGCAAGTGCTCTACCACAGAGCTACATCCATAGCCCTAAGTCGTGTTTATTGTTTTTATTATTTTTTTGCTGCACTGAGGATCAAACCTGGGGCACTCTACCACTGAGCTACATTCCGCGTCCTTTTTATTTTTAGACAGGGTCTTGCTGAGTGGCTGAGGCTGGTCTCAAATTTGCAATTCTCCTGCTTCACTTTCTAAGTAGCTGGGATTATAGATGTGTGCCATCACATCTGGCTCATTTCTATTGAATTATTAATACCTCTCTTCATCTCACCCTACCTAGTTTGCCTCCACCTCCACAAATGTCTTGAGGTAATTTCTGGGGGCTCAGGGGCCTGACTCAGTAAGGACTGCAACCAGGAACCAGCTGGAACACAGCATAAATTTTACAGGAGTCCCTCAGGAGAAGCAGGGACACAGATCACATGGCAGCATCAAGTTATTGCACATGGTCCTTTTATTCTCTGCAGCAAAAAGTTTTCCTACCTGCAGACCCAGAACTCTCTGGTTGGCAGAGAACTGTTATCTACAGACACGAGCATGAAGTTGTTAAATAGCAATCCTGGGGTAGTAGTTCTAAACAGATGGCATTGATATAAAGGGCAGTAATGTAATGGGGCACTGAGTCACAGGATGGCTCTCAGGTGTGTTCCAGTTACTGCTGGGTTAGGACGGATGGCTGTTTATAAAGTTCCAAGATTCTAATGTCCTTGTGGCAGATGGAGAGCTCCCAGCTGGACTGATGTATCCGGGTGAGGGAGACACCTGCCAGTGAGAGCCCCCCTCCCCTCAGTTCTTCACATCTCCTAGGCGGAGCTGGGCAAAGGAAGTGGCCAGCTGTAGTGCCTCCTGCAGGCAGCCCACATTCTTGCCTGTGGCCTGGGCAGACACGTCCTTGCCACCACCTTTGCCATCCATCAGGCCTGACACCTGCTGTACCCACTCACTGGCTTTTAAGCCCCGGTTGGCTGCATTCTGAAAGACAGGAAGGGGAAGTGGGAGTCAGGTCAGAGGATAGGATTAAAGGGGCATGGAGGGAAAGCCACTGTTACCCGCCCCCTGCCCTGGGTGTTGCTGCCAGAGGCCAAGACATACTCTACAAATGGTAGAGGATTAGTCAGTGGCCACTGCCAGGATGAAGAAGAGTGGCTAAGCCAGAAGTCAGCCAGTACAGTCACACATAGTCACAAATGAAAAGGCCTGAGGGTAAGTGGTACTGAAAAAGGTGACACACAGGTGGGCAGGAGGTTGGCAGTTTTTTACAAGGGCTGCACACACATAAATGGGTCTCAGCAAACAACAGAAGAACCAAACTCTGAGAAGCCAGATTGTGCTTCCCAGAGGTGCAGAGGTTTACAGGCTTTGGAATAAGGTTGCAGGGAGTTCTGACCTGGGTGACTTGACACAAGCAGGTGATCTTGCCAGCCTCATTGTCCACTGTGAAGAGCATGGCAGACGTCTGTGGGGAATGCGTCTTGAAAAGCTTCAAGGCTTCATTCAGAGCCTACAGGGGAAACCTAGTGTTAGGCTAGGGCTCTGGGGCAGGAGGCCCTGCTCTAAATCAGGGAGTTTACAGAGCTCAGCCCTCAAGCCACCACCCCAATTCCTTCCAAGAGCAGGTGCTGTCCCTGGGAGCCTGTATGAAGAAGGACCAAGCCCAGAGCCCTGCCCACATTCTAGCTCTGAAGTTTGCCTTATAACTCCAGGGAGCTGCTCCTTCTTCCAGCTCATATTTCTCCATGGCTTAGTCTAACCTTAATCCTAGACAGCGAGCCCTCAGTTGACCACATGGCTCAGAGACTCAAAGCCCACCCATCTGCCACCAGAAGGCTGATGAGGCCTAGAAGGAAGGGGACATGCAGTGGACAGGCCGGGAAGTGCCCAGACCCTAGCCCCTGATTGCCTTGGCTGAGGCGCCGCTCTCCATCTCCAGGATAACCAGAGGCTGGTTGGGGTTGCTGTCGATGAGCTGCTTTGTCCTCTCCAACACCTACAAGAAGGAAGTCCAGCAGAGTGTCAGGCCAAAGGCCCAGACCCCGAAACCCAGGCAGCAGTCACCCCAGACTTTGTCCAGGAAATCCTCTTGGCTCCCTTCCTGCCACCAGCACAGCCAGGACTCACTCGCTTTTGGACGTCAGCTTTGCTAGCGCGGTCTAGGTCATCCATGATCTTCTTCAGGGATTTCAGAGTCTCTCGCAATTCATCCTTCTGCCACTGGGGGATGACTGCAGTGGCCAGTGCCTGGAACAGGAACCAGAAGACTAACTGGCTCTGGGCTACATGGTGCTAGGATATGAAGCTCCAGCCTACCCCACCCTTCTTTTAAACCAAAGTCCTCTCCAGCTTGTGTCTAGGAAAAGATATCTGCTGGTCTTGAGACCAGTCACTGTAGCAATTGTAGCAGTTGTCACAAGCAGGGCTAGAGAGAAAGGGGCACTATAAAGAGGGCTCAGCTCTCATGTAAGACCTGGTCCTTACCAGTCCATGAGCACAGCTGAGAAGGCTTAGGGGAAGTTCCAGATGTTAAGAATCACCAGACAGGCCTGGAAACAGTGGACACTCTCCCTCCACACCTCCCTCACCCCCACTCATGCTTAGAAAGGGCTCTCCTGCCAGCTGTACTGGAAGCAGTAGGCAGGGTCCAGGGATTTGTAGGCCAGCATCAAAAAAGTCCCCTTTGCAAGGCCACTGGATAACAAGTCAGCCCAGAGGCTACAGTGAGAGTTCCTTAAGAACAGGGAGGGCCTTGCTCCATAGGCACACAAGCAATGAGCAGGCCAAGGAGGGAGTAAGGCTGTCCTTACCTCACCAAGGTCAGCAATCTCCCTCTGTACATCCTTGTTTGGTGCGGTCTGGGCCTTCACTTTGGCCTCCATAACAGACAGAGATTTCTTCAAGCTCTCTGCCTTCCTGAGGGCCTGGGAAGGGGACAGTCAGATCTATAAATCTGAGTCATCCCCCACTGGTCTCACAGCTCTGTCTATAAATAGCTACAGAAGCACCAACAGCACGTGTGGAGCACATGCTCTAAGAGACCAGAATTTTTTTTCCTCCGGGAAGCAAATGCTGACAGCCTCCTGCCCCAGAAAGGAACACTTTCTTCACATGCCCAGTCAGCAAAAGTTGTCTGCTACGTCAGGCTCAGGATGTCCAAGAAATCATAAATCAGGAGCCCTTTTCAAACTGTGAAATGAATAGTCCTCGGGATTTGGCACAAACTATAGTTCCTACTCTCCGAACATGCACCTCCATGTCCTGCACCTCACACTAGGTAAACATCCTTAGGATAGGTGGAGAAGAGAGGGAACCCTTGAAGCCACAGCAAAACTTTGGCTTACCCTCCTAGACATGGATGTACTGAGACAGAATTTACATACATTTAAAAGATTAATCATAACAGCTGGGAGTTAAACACGACAATGTGGTGGTGGCTTTCTTCTGCCAGGTAGAGTTAACTGGAGGACAGGTGGGGGTAGCAATCTGGATTTTCCTTCTGACTATAGCAGCTACAGAACTGTTTGCTCCATGGATTCCCAAAATGGGCTCCCCCTGCCTTGTTCAAATAAACTACACACCTGCCTGCTGTGCTCACCTTCTGAGCTTCAGCACCTGTGACAGCAACAATCCTCCTGATACCCTTGGCAATAGCTTCTTCAGTCACAATCACAAAAGCTCCTGCATGACTTGAATTCCGCAGATGCCTGAATGGCAGAACACAAAATCAGGAGTGAAAGGAAGCCCAGATGAAAAGAAAGGAAGCCCAGGATCCCTAGCCACCTCCCTACCCCTGGGGAGCCCATAGCTGCTAGGCTGAACCCCATGAGGTCATCATCCCTCAGAGAAGAGTGGGTAATTCCCTCGTATTTAAGGAAATTTCAGAACACAGCTCTGGCTAAATAAGAACAGTAGAAGCCGTAAGGGAAAGAGAGAGAAGGCCTGGGCTTAAGAGTGTTCTGACACTGGGTAGACACCATCCCTCTGGGTTTCAGTCTTTTCATGTATAAAACGGGGATAATTCTCCCTCACATGGCTGTTGTGAAATCAAA